GGAATCTTCCCTAGGTCAAAAATGTTAAGGTGAGAGCCACGGAAGCATCGCTCACCGAACGAGGGATCTAGGAGTTTGAACTTTTCCTAGATCAAGACGCTCGGGTGAGCACTACGGAAGCGTTCCTTACCGAGCGGGGGATCTATGAGTTCGCCCAAGATCGAAGATGCCTGGGTGAGAGTTACGAAAACGCTCATAATCGAGTTGTTTAGATCTTAGGAGTTCACTTGGATCATGCCCTAAGATCAATGTGAGAGTTCACGAGGAGCGTTTCTCACTGTTTGGTTTAGATCTTAGGAGTTCACATGGAGCGTGCCCTAAGATCAGAGTAAGAGTTCACGAGGAGCGTTCCTCACCGTTTGGTTTAGATCTTAGGAGTTCACTAGGAGTGTGCCCTAAGATCAGGGTGAGAGTTCACGAGGAGCGGTCCTCACCGTTCGGTTTAGATCTTAGGAGTTCACTAGGAGCGTGCCCTAAGATCAGGGTGAGAGTTCACGAGGAGCATTCCTCACCGGTCGGTTTAGATCTTAGGTTCACTAGGAGCGTACCCTAAGATCAAGGTGAGAGCTCACAAGGAACGTTCCTCACCGTTCGGTCGACACTAGGAGTTCACTTGAAACCTTCCCTAGGTCGAAGATGCCAATGTGAGCGATTGATAAGAGTTTTCTTAGTTCTTTTTAAAACCTTTCTTTGAGTCGGACGGTTGATTGAAGTTCTTTTAAGAACCTTTTCCTTTGGTCGAACAGTTGACATAACTTGGTCAAAATTTTAATGGAAATCATTGGATAGTAATATCAGATTTGCAAATTACATCACAGTTTTTAAACTGGAAAAAAGCAAATAGAAAGCTTAGCTCTATTCTTGCCATAACTATGTCGTTCGGTCCCGTGTTGCCCTCCTTTCGCTCCCGGCCTGCCGAGGGTGAATCATTCTCTTTGTGCTGCCTTTTTCGGACAACCCGCATCTCCTTGATTCGAATGAACTCAACGGTCCTCTCCTGCACTTCTCTCATGGTTGAAGGTGGCTGAGCAAATAGGCTATCCGCAAAGGAGCACGACCTTAAGGCTGTTGATAGGGTGCTGATGATGAACTTCTTGCCAACACCCTTCACCTGTCGTGCGGTCCGGTTGAACCGGTCCATGAAATCCTTCAGATCTTCATTTTCTCCCTGTTTGAATTTAGTAAGCTCCATGTAGGTAAGGTCTTACATCTTACTAGAAGCGAACTGTCGTTCAAACAGGCGCCTCAAAGTCACAAAACTATCGAGTCCTGGGACGAAGAGAGTGAAACCATTCTAAAGCTTCTCCTTTAATTGATAGGGAATAAACCCTTTCACGGGATGAATAGATTGCCATGGCGTCAGAAAATAACCTCAGGATCTCCTCCGGGTCCCCCAATCCATCATACCTTTCCAGAACTGGGAGCGCCCTTTCTAGCATTTTCTCTTCCATGATTGCAGTTGTAAAGGGATGAAGTGCCCTGGCCCATGCGACATGAACCGAACGGGCAGGACTCCTCCGGGAACTGTTTTCCCCAATGGGCGTCCGAGTGGGTGCAACCGACCTTTGATCGGGCAGGGCCCTCCGCCCCGCGTCATGCTCCCTACGTGATGCATCCCGCTCAGCCCTTAGAGTGTCAATTCAGTTTGCATGGCTTCCATCCTCCTCTGCATCTCATGTATAAACGTCGTTGGATCTTGAGCCATCCTTATGGTCTTGCTAGGGTGTCTTCGAAAATCCTCGGCCCCACGGTGGACTACAAAATGTTTCTGCTGAAATGGGACAAGGATCTCCGCCGAACGTCCTACTGTTACTGTCGATCGTCCTATTGGCACTACCGAGCGTCCTCCTAGCGCTGCCGAGCGTCCTTCTTCTCCTAGCTCCAGCCAACCAAACACCAAATGAGGGGCGACCTGCAGATGACACTCTGACGCTCAAGTCAAAAACTTTCTCTATAGGCCTTTATAATTTAGTAATGAGTAAAACATGAGTTTACCTTGAACCTAAACCCTTATTTATAGAGTTTAAGGGAATTTGACCAATTAATTTACCTCTTAATGGTCATTAATGCAAACCTTAATTGTTTAACGTTAGCTGTTATCACATTTATTTGTGCATTAACTCTGCTCAACGGTTGTCGGGACCGAACGACTAAGAGGATCTTTCCTGCATGTTGATCGTTCAGTTCCTTAGGGTCGTGTGTCGTCCTAACTGATCGGTAGTATATGAGCTCAAAGTAAGGTAAAAGCTCTCCTACACCTTTACTGTTCGATCGGAGATGAATCCATAGTAACAGTTATGAAAAATAAGTGTCAATATGTTCGATTCGTGTTAATAATTTATTGTGTGGAATGATGTTTTCAACAATAAATTATTTTCAATATAATATGAAAGATCGTGTCCCATTATGAAACAAAAATGATTTATGCTCAATTGAAAAGTGTGCAAAAAACTATGTATAGGAACCAAATTCCTTTCTCATAGTCATCTTACAATGAAGAAAACATTTCATGAAATACAAGAAGATCCGACAATAGTAAAAAAAGTATATGACTAGGTGAAAATATTTGTCTTCATTTAGCTTTCCATTATGTGTTTTTGTAGATCATTTTGCAAAAAGTTACGAGAATCCTTTGAGTTTGACTTTTGCACTTTGTAGCCTAAGGAGTCACATCTCCTTTCTTGAAGTGTCAAATATTTTTCCTCATGCCTTTGCATCCATGGTTTGGAGGAATATGTGATATTCTCCTTGTATTTCCTCTTTTCCTTTTATCTTCCTTTCTCTTTTCAATCTTTTAACGTTAACCTTGTACATTATCGCTTGTGGAGAAAGTTGAGAAAGTGGAGAAGATGATAATTTTGAAATTGTAACTAAATTTTAAAGAAGAAAACAAAATCAACCAATTATAAATTATTAGAAACCAATAAAATTTGCCTCACATATGTGTCTCTCGACCTTGACGTAGAATTACACTAACATGTTCACATTTTAATCACACTCTTGACAAGAGATTAAGGACTTAAAAGGTTTCAGTACTTGAACGTTAAATGAAATAGAAACAATTAGATCATCTAATCCTAATTAATCTGAATGGTTAATTCAAAATAAAATGATTGGCTAAAATTCCACTTATTAGATTAATTAAATTCATATCCTCTTCATACAAAAATATTTATGTTGGTAATGGTGCTTCAAATTCAACTTTTTTAACTTTTAATTTCAACTTATCAAAATATTAAAAATTATAAATTTAATTTTCACTCTCAAAATGATTAAATGTAATATCAATCTTTGTCTGTATTTATGAGTAAAAATTATTATATATATATATATATATATATATATATTAAGAAAAATTCATACAAGTTATCTGACCCAGGACTTAGCCAAATGATTACGTTTCCAGAACAAACTTTCCAAAACTTTGTTCATTCCTAACATGAAAAAACGTTTTTCAATGAAAAAATTGTTTATTCAAGTTTAGCGATGTTTCTGACAAATCTTCAATACCAGAATGTTATTGATTGGATATGTTAAGTCGTTAACCATATTTGATGAATTATTCATGCTCATATTATCAAAAAGTCAGAATGCAAGGTTTTTTTGCCTCCTGCTGAATATTTCTTAGTTAAGGGGCTACGTGCTTAAATAAAAATCTTCAAATTCAAATTTATTCAAATTCAATCCAAAAATTCAATATACTAGTAACTACACTTTTCTTCTTAATGGTCAAAGTTTTATGCGTTGTGGCATACTCGACTCAAGTTTCGCTAAGAAAATTATGTCTTAATTTAATTTAATTAAATATTTAAGTCTAACTTGTATTATAAACAATATATGTATATATATTAATGAGAAACTACTCTTAATAAAATATCTCTTTCCGATTATATTTTTTTATATATATCTACAAGACTTCAATTTCAAACGTCGCTTAAAAAGTATAATTTAAGATCATTTAAATAGACTTTATACTTTTTATTTTTAGAGGAAATAGATGACTTGCCATGACCAATAACAAGTTTATGGATATCAAGACCCAATAAATGTATTTATTGATTGAGCCACTTCTTTTGACATGGTTGTCAATGTGGTTACTAACAAAGCAACACTAAATTAAAAAGTTAAACATTGGTTATAATGAGTATTTGCTTTTTTAGTTAAATATGACTGGAGTGTAAGAAAATAAAATAATAAAGCTAAAATTATTTTTTTTCATGAAAAAAAATCAAGTAAATGGCTTTTAAAATATAAAATACATAAATAATTTTAACTTGCAAAAAATTAATTTAATTTACTTGAGTTAATTTAATTACTTTATCTTCAAATAAATTTGTTAAATAGTTTACACAAACTGAATCCTAATTAATACTAATTTCCAGTAATTAATGCGATAGCTAGCTAGCTTGGTGTGATATGAGTTTCTATTGGGACGACGCCAGTCCCGTAAGGGCTTCCGATGACGGCAAACAAAGTTAGTTCACGAACACGTATATGACCATGCAATATAGTAGTAAGAACGCGTAAATAATCACTTTTCTCTCGCTATCTCCTTTTTCCACAAAATTAAATTGTTCAGAAAATATTCAAATTCTGAAGGCAGTTTCAAAGTCCTCTGCCTTGTGTTGTACGTAGTTAATTAATGCGAGGAAAAGTAAATTCGCAAACCAATGATAACGATTCTCACCTTCTTACCACCTATAAATATACCACAACTTTGCTCTCATTCAACATATACCAAACAAATCTCATATTATTAAACTACGTTTATCAAACACTTGAGACCATGGTTTTTCCAAGACCTCCTTCTGAGTCTGACCTCTTTTTCCATTCCAACTTTGCTTCTCGCTATGCAAGAGACTCTCTTCCTAGGTATAATATACAGTTTCCCTTTATTTTTTTTCATCATGGCTCCTCCTTTTAATGTCATCATTCAATGTCATTCTTATCTTTGACTTGAATGTACTATTTGATAATTATTTTCTCTGTGGGGAGGTAATTAATGAACTGTTGTTTTTGGTGATGCAGGTTCAGTATGCCTGAGGAGTCCATGCCAAAGGAGGCTGCCTACCAGAACATTCACGATGAGTTGCAACTTGATGCCATTCCAAAGCTTAACTTGGCTTCCTTTGTCACCACTTCCATGGAGGAAGAGTGCAACAAACTCATCATGGAATCCATCAACAAGAACTATGTTGACATGGACGAATATCCCATCACCACTGATCTTCACGTACGTCCTTATGATCAATTTATTTTCCTTTTCAATCTTTATATTTGGAATACGAAAGAGGTATTATATTTTTTTGGTGTTTGAATTGCACAATAATTTTTTCCACTTCCTCTGGTGTTGTACTTTGAATGGAAACAGAATCGGTGTGTGAACATGATAGCACGTTTGTTCCATGCTGACGTTGGAGAAGATGAGAATGGTATTGGAGCAGGAACTGTTGGGTCATCAGAAGCAATAATGCTGGCAGGACTTGCATTCAAGAAGAAGTGGCAGAACAAACGTAAGGCAGAAGGCAAACCTTATGATAAGCCTAATTTGGTCACTGGCTCCAATGTACAAGTATGTTGGGAGAAATTTGCCAGGTATTTTGAGGTGGAGTTGAGGGAAGTGGAGGTGAGAGAAGGATACTACGTTATGGATCCTGCCAAAGCAGTCGAGCTGGTTGACGAAAACACTATTTGTGTGGCTGCAATATTGGGTTCAACATACAATGGAGAGTTTGAAGACGTGAAGCTCTTGAATGACTTGCTGCTACAAAAGAACAAGCAAACTGGGTGAGTAATATTATTCAATTGATTAGCTGTAGTCATGAATTAAAGTGTTACTAAATTGGTAAGGTTGTGAGATGACAGATGGGAAACTCCTATTCATGTGGATGCTGCAAGTGGTGGTTTCATTGCTCCATTCCTATATCCAGAGCTGGAGTGGGATTTCAGGCTGCCATTGGTGAAGAGCATAAACGTGAGTGGACACAAATATGGGCTTGTATATGCTGGTATTGGTTGGGTTATTTGGAGGACAAAGGATGACTTACCAGAAGACCTTGTGTTCCATATCAATTACCTTGGAGCTGACCAACCCACCTTCACCCTCAATTTCTCCAAAGGTTCTTCTTTACAATCTATGTGTGTTCCTTCCACACCTTGATTGCATATATAATCATACCTTATGCTTACCTTGTCATCTTCACTTGCAGGTTCTAGTCAGATCATTGCTCAATATTATCAACTAATTCGACTTGGCCAAGAGGTGATGAGCTCGTGTAGTTGGACTTATCAATACTTTAATTATTACATAAACTTGTATTCTCTTAGAAAGGTTTGATGAAGTAGGATATAAATCCTTATTTCTCTTGTTGAATATACTAGGGATACTTGAGCATAATGGAGAACTGCAGAGAAAACGCAATGGTGCTGAAGAAAGATTTGGAGAAGAGTGGGCGGTTTAACATACTCTCAAAAGACAATGGTGTTCCAGTGGTGGCATTTTCTTTGAAAGACAGAAGCCAGTACGATGAGTACAAGATATCAGAGATGCTGCGGCGGCACGGTTGGATAGTGCCAGCTTATCCAATGCCACCTGCTGCTCAGCACATCAATGTGCTCCGTGTGGTGATCAGGGCTGAGTTTTCACGCACCCTTGCTGAACGCCTTGCCTTTGACATACACAACGTGCTGCATGAGCTTGAAAAGTTACCTCCCCCCACAATGATCAATAACACTGAGGAAGTGAAGAAGGCCTTGGTTGATAATGGAGTCAAGAAAAATTCCATGGATACACACAAGGAAATCATTGCTCAAGAATCCAACAAGCGTCAGAAAATCATGGCGGCCTAGTTACGGTGCTCTTTCTCACTATACCAATAAAATAAGGAGCCTTTAGTATTTGTTCTAACTCCAACCATACTCCACCCTTAAATATAGTTTATTTTATTTTTCCCGAATGTTTAGGGAAAAAATTTCTTGCAGTTTGATGTCAATTGAGATGTGTAATTGGCATGTATTAATTACGTGTTAGACCAACGTAACTTAATTATGAAAGTTTTGTTGTCGATGTTACTATTATCCTTTGATTATCATGGTATATGGGTCTTGAGAAATTGTGATCCATGCACACCACACTAAGATGTGAGAAGTGTGTTTGAATTCTTCAAGTAGCGCCTCAGTATATTTCATGGGTTTTTCATAGTGAGATGTTAAACATATGACAAGTGTTTCCATGACACTGCTAAAATGTAAGCATTCTAGTGTGAAAATTATGGCTTAGCAACTTATGTATAACAATCAATAACCATTTTGAATGAAGACATAATAATAATTAAGAAGCAACAAATATTTATCATTGACATTTTTTTATATAAAGGTGTTGTTGTGCTGAAGTAACATTGTGGAAACAAGAGGTCCTAATAAGGTTGACAGCTCCAGATCCTGTACCATAATATAACATATCAACGGTGATTCGATACCTAATACTTTCACATTATTCAAAAGTCAAAACTAAGTACAGTTTAAATATTTTTTTCTTTTTTTAAGACATTTTTTAAAGATAAAATTATGACAACTTTAATTTCCAAAACAAACAGAACTTTAATCAGAATTTGGAATATTTGATGGTACTGGTCATTATAAAACCACGTAAATTGATTGCTGTCAATCTTTCTTCCGATCAATTGAATATATTTTAGCTTTTCTCTATCTTAGTAGGCCTTGCTTTTTATAATTGGATCACATCTCAAAGGTTTGAAATATATATCCAATTATGTGTTACTGCAATTGCACATTATATTTGCAGACATTTTTAAAATAATTTAGTGTGTGGATATGTGGGTATTAGATTGCTAATGTTAACCTCTAGTGATTTATTTTCTGAATAAATTTATAATGCTCATTCTAAACTTTTCTCTATTTTGTTAACCTTTTTTAATTGCTCAAGTGGAAAAAAGGAATCCATTCTTCCTTGTAATTTATATTTCTTGAGATGTATCCTTGTGGATGTTAACTTTGTATTTATGCTTTCTGTTTGTAACAATGGTTTAGTTGATTCCTTTGTGGTCTATAATTTTTTTATTAGCCGTAATTGTTTCTATAAAAGAAGATAGTACTAACTTCAAAGTGACACATTGATTTGTCAAACTAATTGTTTTTCTGACGTTGGTTTTATTATTATGATTAAAATAATTCTGCATAATCATTATATCTGCACTTTTCACTTCTTTTTTTTGTTCAAATTAATTTTTTTGTGACGTGTTTTTATTCTTATGCTTTTGTATTAACAACTTGAAATTTAAACTGTAACTTATTATCAGAAAGTTATTTCTCTGGTATACTACTCTCTAGTTAGTTTATAATCTGTTAATCCTTGTAGATAATAGTTTCATATCAATTGGAGTCACTAGAGGAATTGTTGTAGATGTTGCAGTGTATTTTTCTAGTGGATTTATAATTTTTAAATCTTGACTTATTCCTTTTTTTTCTATTTTTTCTATTTTTTCTGTAAGGAATCATTAAGTTTTAATGAGATTTCATTTATTCTCATTTGTTCCTTTTTCTCGTACTAAAAGAAAGTTCTATGAATTGATCCTAATCCATGAGATTTTCAGGATATTCAATCCTATGAACTTTTTTTATAAAAAATGTTTTTAACATACTTGGATTAGGACCAAGTTCTATCAAATGAGCTCATTTGAAAAGTCTATAAATGATCAAGTCGACTTTAATATAACACTGAAAGTAATATATAATATAGAATCGGATAAATAAACTGTACAGCAACATTACATATTTCTTAAATAAAAATTAATGAAATATAAAGTACATCTTTTTATATAATGGATAATAGTTTTATATTTTAAAATAAATAATAACTCCTTGCATTGATCTAACTAATGAAAAATTTAATATAAAAATGATAATACGAAATAAAGAAGTTTGTTGGCTTAGAAAATAAAAAAACTTTTGCTATGATTTCAAAATAAAATTAACTATTTTTCTTTCTTAAACTAAATATAATTTTGGTTTTCGTTCTTATCTCAAACTTTAATTTAAATAAATTTTTATGCATAAAAATTGATTCGATAGTTTTTTTTTTCAATGACATTTATTGTTTTTTCACGTTACATGTGACAAATCATGTTTGATAAAGTTCACAAGTTCTCCTTTAAGTGTAATTCGTAATTTATCACGTTAAAAAACAATTAATATTATTGGCAAAGAAAATTATATCCATATATTTCTTAAATATAAGGATTAAGAGGGTTAAAGGATAAATACCAAAATCTCTTTTTAATTTTAAAAAAAACATAGTTAACCTTTAAAATAACATTGAAAATTCTTTCTCTAGGTTAGCTTTTTATTGGGAAACTTTTTTTGTTCTTTTCTCTTGAACAACCCTTCTTTTAAGTAAGTTAATCAATTAGCTTTTAAGTAAGAAAAAATCTTACAAGAATAAAAAAAATTACAAATTAACTTATGTACAGTTTATCTTTTGTTAACAATTTAAATGAGTCATAGAAAAAGATTAAATTAAACATAATTTATCAAAATAAAAACTACATTGAATATCAAAAAAAAAAATCTCATGTTAAACAAAATGAATGAAAATAGGAACAAAAAAGAGTATTAAGCATACAAAAGATTTACCTAGAGGTGACCAATGAGTTTTGGGAAGACTATGCTTAATAAACAAAACATCGTATCAAATGTCTTGGGATGCGAAGTGGTACTAAATCAGCAAGCCATTGCTGAAGTAACTGAATGTGAGAGATTTGCAAATTGCTTCCGCTCCAATTAAGGACAGAACTATCAAGATAATGGAAAGAGAAAATTGTCTGGGGGAAACATTTAATGGCAAGAAAGTTCCCTCCAACGTATAGAAGATGCTTTGCCCTAAGGCTAAAATCTACAACAACTTTGTAACAAGGTCCTTCTTCCTAAGAAGGGTTCGAATGATCGATCACATTATTGAAGATCATACACTTCTAACCTAATTAACCCATCACAAACAACTATTGTCCATCCCAGCCAAAGACTCATAATTGGAAGACCATGGCCACTACTATCCAAAACCCCTTATAGATATAAAACCAAGAACCTGACCACTATTGTTAAATATTCCACAAAACCTGTTGTACAAACATGTTGATACATATATAGAAAATATTTTTGATACTCTACATTTTGCATTTATAGAAGCGATACATTCCCTTCTCATACGATTCTCAAAACCTCTTTAGCGTCTTCAACTGCCAATCATAGTTATAGAATTTGAGCTTAAAGCTAATAGCCATGTACAAATTGGGCCATGCAAACCAAATATCTTCTGTATAGATACCATGATTCCTATTATCCTGCAAACTATTAAACCAATCAGAAACAGACTCCAATGCAAAATCACTAGTTCACTTCCATTTAAAGCACAATTTGAAGGTTTAAAAGGCAAATTTGCATATAGGCTGAAAAATGACTAAATGAACAATGCAAACAACTTTGAAATGACAATTTAAACTTGCTCAAACATTGTAAATGCACAAAAATAGCAAGATTCAACAATTCACCCTTGTTATAGCCTATTTATGCACCAAAAATTCCATCAGAAATCAGATTTCAAGGAATCATGAATGGACAGTAGGTGCAATGACTCTAAGAAGGCCTAATTCACTAGATCTAGTTGCCGAATATGAGCTAGCAAAGTTTGAGTGACCTAAAACACATGCAAAGATAGCAAGCACGGTGCAAAACTTGAGTGAAAGTAGCTGCTGTATTGTAAACCAGATTTTGATCAACTCAAATGCACTTTTTGGAATTCATTGGTTAATACAGATTGCTAGCACTTGAAACATGTATAATATCATGAAATAAACTTGTCTCAAGCTTGAGGCACAACAAAACTTGACAGAAACAATAATGACCATATCAAACCAGAAATGAATCTTTATGCAGATTTTGAAACAAAAGCAATGTTTTGCAGTGTTGTTAGCTCATATGATCAAAGCTAGACTTGATCCCATTGCTTTATAAGATCAATATATGGCAAGCAACTGCATTGGACTCAATTAAAAACCAAAATCACAGCTAGAATAGAATCAAATACATGATGAAGGAGTTGAAAACTGCACATAAGGCACATGATTGTGACATAACTTGAAATGATGAGTAAAGCTTGAGTTCAACTCAATTAAAAGAATTGCACCGATTAAAATGAGCAACAAACATGTATGAACATTGGAAACACAAACACAACAACAAGAAACGCGAAATCACACCAAGTAGAAATGAAAAAAAAATTCAAAACAGTGGCAGAATGGAACAACACAACACGGAAATGAAGAAACTAGATGGAAGAATGGCTTAGCTCTTGAAGAACCGCGTGGACGTGTTGGCTTTGACTACCAAATGATGGAAGCAGCTCCAAGCTCCAAGCTCCAAGCTCAAGCAGCTCCACGACTCAAAGTGACGCAACGAAATGATACAATAAAGGAAATCGCAGGTGCACGCCATGTGTTTGATGAAATGTTCAGCGAAGGTTTGGTGAGTGTATGAGGTTTCTTAAGCTCAGAAAGCCTTCCAAAAAGGAAGGAAGCTAGAGGAGGGAGTGTAGAATAAGCAGAAAGAAGATTGAAAGGATATGACTGGAGAAATCTCAACAACATTTCATCATCTCATCAAAGTTGGAAATTACAAAGGGGGGAGCTTCTCTTTTATAGGTGAAGAGAGGGCTCAATTTCAGGCCTTGCTAAGCTTCTCTAATCACTAAAGAAGAGTGCTAGGTACACTTCAGAGCTTGGGGTGCAAGTCTCAAACGAAACACATTAAAAATGTGTTAAAAGTGTAAAAGCTATAAAAAAATGGTTGAGCTCAGGAAGGCTGTGGTTGGGCTCCCTGCACAATCCGAAAGGCAATTTTGCCTTGCAGTCTCAATCTGGAAGCAACTAGATGCAATCCGGAAATGATGTTTTCTTCTCCATTT